GTCTCCTTGCTTTTAATGGACTAGGTACAGTAATTCAATTTATTCATTGGTAAAAAAATTCATTTTTGTAATTTTACACTTAACTCTATGTACGAAAAATTCTGGAAAATAATCCTTGCGTTAGCGAATTCTCAGTGTAGATAAATCTCCATCACGCGCTTTATATTGATCGAAAAATTTGGTGATCTCTAGTGATACAGAGTGTCGCTGACATTTGGGTCGAAATTTACTTGTTTGAGACATGTCGCTTCTGTGCCTGAGCCTTTAAACTAATTTAAAATCTTTTGGCATTTCAGGCCAACGTTTTATCGTTGGAGTAGGAAAAGTAGAGTGCAGTGAGGCGGTGCGCAAAGAAATCATCCATTTGCTATGCCGTAAGCCGATGACGTTTAGCAAGCTCGAAAGACACTTGCCAGAAGACCCTTTCGACAAAACGGGCCTCGAAGACGTTATTAACTCGGTGGCTATTTTCAAGTAAGCTCGTTGACTAGTCGTTTTGTGTTAAATTTTTCTTGTGGATTAGACCGCCGAAGGACGGCTCTGCTGGACAGTTCGAGCTGAAACCCGAGTGCCTGAATGAGTACAATCCATTTTTCTGGCATTATTCGAAATCAGAGATGTCTGAAGCCGAAGATTACCAGCGAAGATTGCGCGCCCACAGTTCAATTGAAATCAAAGGTAATAAACCGTCTTTTACGTGTTCCATATCTAAGTGGGAAATACCAACCCATTTTTGCGAAGATCTCGACCTGCTACTAGTTGATATGTCATTTCGGTATTCAATTTCCAGAAATGCATTTTCAGAAATTCAACCAATGCCGTGACAGATAGTTCAAGATAAACTGTAAAGCTTTAGTGAAGTACATCCGTGAAAGTGTCCCGCTGCATAAAGTTCTCTTTTGGGGACAGTTTGGTTAAACCCTTGCTTTAGTTAAGTCTCACAGAATGGCGACCTGACTTTAAGTTCAAGCTGGACTGTATTGCCTCCAGGAAGTATCAGTAAAACAGCTTTTCAAGATAAGGCTGATTTTTTTTCACTGAACACTACAAGTTTATGTGCAAGTGTTTACTTCTGGTCAGTACAGATAAAATTTCATTCAGATAAGTTGTAGCGATCCAGTAATTACGGCAAGAAACCCGCGTTCATGTTTCTATATTGTTTTGATTGTCATCGTTTGGACAGGCCGTTTGGCTGATGCAAGTTGAACAAGCGCAATAAATGTCAAAATTAAAAGATGGTTCATTTTATTGTATGCTATTCCTTGTGTGTTAATTGTACTAATATCTTAATTTACGTTTTTGTAACATTTCAGCCTGTCCGCCCCCTGTTTTGCCTGAGTTCTGCAAATCGTTTGCGCCGATTATCAAAATCTTCGAATCTGACGTGTTTCTGTACTTGATTGGCTT